AAATTTTCATCCTTATATCCTTTGTTAATATTTTTGGTTGATTTTTTTAATTTTTAATTTTAATTTTTCAAGTTTTTTTTTTTTTTTTGGATGTGGACCATTTTTAAAGTCTTTTTCGAATTTGTTACAATATTGCTCTGTTTTATGTTTTGTTTTTCTGGCTGTGTGGCATGTGGGATCTTAGCTCCCCGACCAGGGATTGAACCTGCACCCCACCGGCATTGGAAGGTGAAGTCTTAAGCACTGGACTGTCAGGGAAGTCCCTGGTGCAATTTAAATATGATAAAATTCTCTCATTTATGTGCAATTTGATGAATTTTGGCAAATACATATAGTTCTCTACCATTACATTCAAACTATAGAATGTTTTATTGCTGCACATAGTTCCCTCATGCTCATATGTAGTCTCTTCCTCCAGCTACACCCAGTCCCAGACAACCACTGTTCTGCTTTCTGTTACTCTATAGTTTTACTTTTTCTAGCATTTCACATAAATGTGGTCATACAGAATTTATTCACTAATTGATAGATGTTAATCCTTTTACCAGCTGATGGGCATTCAAATTATTTCTCATGTTTTGCTGTTATGAGTAATGCTGCTCTGAACATTCTGTTACAAGTTTTTTTTTGTGGACATGTGTTTTCATTTTTCTTGAGTAGATACCTAGGAAGGGAATTGCTGGCTTATATGGTATATAGTGTATGGTTTTGTTTTTTGTTTTTTTTTTTTTCTTTCGGTACACGGGCCTCTCACTGTTGTGGCCTCTCCCGTTGCGGAGCACAGGCTCCGGACGCGCAGGCTCAGTGGCCATGGCTCACGGGCCCAGCCGCTCCGCGGCATGTGGGATCTTCCCAGACCAGGGAACGACCCCGCGTCCCCTGCATCGGCAGGCGGACTCTCAAGCACTGCGCCACCAGGGAAGCCCTATAGTGTATGTTTTTAAGAAACACCCAGATTGTTTTCCAAAGAGGCTGAACACTTTGCATTCCCACCAGCAGTATATGAGCATTCCAGTCACTAGCCCTTGGTATTGTCAGTTTTTAATTCTAGTCATTCTAGTGAGTGTGTAAGGTTACCTCATTGTGGTTTTAGTTTTAATTTCTCTGACGACTAGTGTTTTTTTAATTATTATTTTTTAATGTTAAACTTAAAAAAATTTTTAATTGAAGTAGTTGATTTACAATATTGTGTTAGTTTCAGGTGTATAGCATAGTGATTCAGTATTTTTGCAGATTATATTCCATTATAGGTTATTACAAGATAATGGGTATAATTCCCTATGCTACACAGTAAATCCTTGTTGCTTATCTATTTTGTATATAGTAGTTTTTATCTGTAATCTCATACCCCTAATTTGTCCCCCCTCCCCTCTCTCCTTTGGTAACCACAAGTTTGTTTTCTATATTTGTGAGTCTGTATTGTGAGTCTATATTATTTTTTAGATTCCACATATTAGTGATACCATACATATAGTATTTGTCTTTGATTTATTGAATCAAGTGCGCACGTGGGCGCGCGCGAACACACACACACACATCTTCTTAATCCAGTTGTCTGTCAGTGGGCACTTGGGTTACTTCCATGAATACCTTTGCTATTTTAAATAGTGCTGCTATGAACATTAGGGTGTATGTATCTTTTAAGATTAGTGTTTTCATTTTTTCCAGATAGTCCCTGATGACTGACTGGTGATGCTCAACATCTTTTCGTGTGCCTACAGGCCATTCATATATATTCTTTTGTGAAGTGTCTGTTCAGATCTTTCACCTGATTCTTTATTGGGTTATCGCTTTTGGATTTAAGAGTTTTAAAAAATATATTCCAAATACAATTTCTATGTTACATATATATATATATATTTGTTGTTGTCGTCGTTTGTTTTTGCGGTACGCGGGCCTCTCACTGTTGTGGCCTCTCCCGTTGCGGAGCACAGGCTTCGGACGCACAGGCTCAGCGGCTGTGGCTCATGGGCCCAGCCGCTCCGCGGCAAGTGGGATCTTCACAGACCGGGGCACGAACCCGTGTCCCCTGCACCGGCAGGCAGACTCTCAACCACTGCACCACCAGGGAAGCCCCTATGTTATATATTTTGGAAATATTTTCTCCCAATTTGTGGTTTGCCCTTTCATTTTTAAAAATACTATCTTTTGAAGAGCAAAAGCTTCTAATTCTGAAGTAGTACAGTTTAGCAATATTTTTCTTAATGGTTCATATGCTATATGTGTCCTATCTGAAATTTTTGCCTAACCCAGGGTTACAGAGATTTTCTCCTATTTTTTAATCCAGTATATTTTATAGTTTCAGCTCTTAGGTTTAGATTTATGATCTACTTAAAATTAATTTTTGTGTAAGGAATGATATGTAGTCAAAATTTTTTTATTTGTATGCAGATATCCAGTTTTTTGCATCATATATTTAAAAGAACATATTTTTCCTCCATTGTATTACTTCTGCATCTTTGTTGAAAATTAATTGACAAGAGTATGGGTATATTTTTGGGATCTCTTTTCTGTTTTATTGACTTATATTAGGGGTCAGCATACTAAGGCCTACATCCAAATTTGGCTTGTGGCCTGTTTTTGTAAATAAGGTTTTATTAAAGTGCATTGCCATGCCCATTCATTTTTAGGTATTGTCTGTGACTGCAATAGCAGAGAGAGATTTGAGTAGTTGTGACAGAGACTATGTGTCCTACAAAGCTGAAAATATCTACCATCAGGCCCTTTATGGAAAAAGTTTGCCTACCCCCGATTTGTTTATCCTTAGGCTAAACCTGTACTCAGTTGATTACTATAGCTTTATAATAAGTCTGGAAATCAGATTGTGTAAGTCTTGAAGTTTGTTCTGCTTTTTAAAAATGGGCTGTTCCAGGACCTTTGTGTTTCCATGTACATTTTATAATCAGTTTGTCAGTTTATACAAAAGCCTGCTGGAATTTCGATTAGGATCGCATTGAATCTGTAGATCAATTTGGGGGGAATTAATAGCATAAAAATAAGTTTTCCAGTCCATGAATGTGGTATATTTCTCCATTTGCTGAGGATCTCTTTAATTTCTTTCAGTAATATTTGTGGCTTTTAGTTTATAGGCCTTGCACATCTTTTGCTAAATTTATTCCTCAGTATTTAATTTTTATCTATGAATGTTACTATAAATAGAATTTTTAAAAATTTCATTTTTCAGTTGTGTTTTGCTGATATATAGTAGTACAGTTGGTTTTATATATTGACCTTATATACTGCAGCCTTGCTAAATTAACTCATTCTCCTAGTTCTAGTGTATTCCTTAGGATTTTCCACCTCTGTGATCATATCATCTGTGAGTAAAGATGGTTTTACTTCTTCCTTTCCAGTCTGTCTGCCTTAATCTTAATCTTGCCTTAATCTTAACACTGTTTAGAACCTCCAGTATAGGGACTTCCCTGATGGTCCAGACTCTGCGCTCCCCAATGCACAGGGCCTGGCTTTGATCCCTGGTCAGGAAACTAAATCCCGCATGCAGCAACTAAAAGATCCTGCATGCAGCAACTAAAAGATCCTGCATGCAGCAACTAAAAGACGCTGCATGCCGCAACGAAGATCCCGAGTGCTGCAACTAAGACCCAGTGCAGCCAAATAAATAAATAAATATTAAGGGCTTCCCTGGTGGTGCAGTGGTTGAGGGTCCGCCTGCCGATGCAGGGAACACGGGTTCGTGCCCCAGTCCGGGAGGCTCCCACATGCCGCGGAGTGGCTAGGCCCGTGAGCCGTGGCCGCTGAGCCTGTGCGTCCGGAGCCTGTGCTCCGCAGTGGGAGAGGCCCGCGTACCGCAAAAAAAACCAAAAACCAAAAAACTCCAGTATAATGTTGAATAGAAGTGGTTAGAACAGACATTTTTGCCTTAATATTTGATCTTAGGTAGAACCATTTAATTTTTCACTATTAAGATTCACTGTAGGTTTTTACAGATGTCTTTTTTTTTTAAATCATGGATGCCTGTTGAATTTTATAAAATGTTTCTTCTTGCAGTTATTGAAACGATTGTATGCTTTTTTCCTTTAGTTTATGAACGTGATGAATTACATTGATTTTTGGATGTTAAACTAAATTTGCATTCTTGTGATAAAACCCACTTGGTCATGATTTTTTTTTTTAAATATTTAATTTTGGCTGTGTTGGGTCTTCGTTGCTGTGTGTGGGCTTTCTCTAGTTGCAGCGAGTGGGGGCTACTCTTTCTTGCAGTGCGAGGGCTTCTCATTGTGGTGGCTTCTCTTGTTGCGGACCGCAGGCTCTAGGTGTGGGCTTTAGTTGTGACACATGGGCTCTAGAGCGCAGGCTCAGTAGTTGTGGCGCACAGGCTTAGTTGCTTCACGTCATGTGGGATCTTCCCAGACCAGGGATCGAACTCATGTCCCCTGCATTGGCAGGCAGATTCTTAACCACTGCACCACCAGGGAAGTCCCAATGTATTATTTTCTGATATTGAATTTGATTTCTTAATTAAGTTAAGGATTTTTACATCAGTATTCGTGAGGGTCTGCAGTTGAGGTCTGCTGTTTTCCTGTGATGTCACTGGTTTGGGTATCAGGATAATACTGGCCTTGTAAAATAAGCTGAGACAGTGTTTTTTCCTCTAGTTTTTGAAAGAGTTTATGCAAGATTAGTATTTTTTAAAATGTTTGATAGAGTTTACCAGGGAAGCAGTCTGAGTTGTTTTTTTGTCTTATGATTTTTACTAATAGCTAAGTTGTAAGAGATTTGCAGTTTCCTCTCAATTAACAATAAAAAGGGTACTTTATTGGCACAAATAAATTTGAAAATATATTGGGCTTTATCCTGCTTTCTGATTTTGTTAGATGTGGAAGGGACATTTATGAGAAGTTGAGAACCAGCCTTTCCAACTGTGTACTTTAAATATAATAGGGAAATCATTTTATTGTTATATTTTGGCTAAATACTTAATGCTCTTCTTGTTAAAAAATATTTGGTTGCTTATTCACCTTTGTTTTTGTTAATTTTAGGAACTTAAAAGGAGTATAGAAAATCAAGCAGAAAGGAAATTGGAGGGTCAGAATTCCCAGAGTCCTCAGCACATCTCACAGTGTTTCAACACAAGCTCAGATCAAAATGGTCATGTTCCTGCAGTGCCAGATACACAACCAGTTCTGCAGTTTGGTAATCCTTATGCAACACAGGAAACAAGAGGTTATTAAAATATTTTTGGTTGGGGTTAGCTGAATGTGGAGGTTTTTTTTTGTTTGTTTGTATCTTCCTGGGATTAGAGAACTGTTGGTATGATCAACACTAATAGAAATCTTGCTTTATAATAAACAGTTTTAATGTTTAACACTAACTGACTTCATCTAGAAGCAGTACACCATGAATGAGGAGTCTATTTGCTTATTGCACATAGTTCTTATTTTTAAAGATCATTTGGGTTAAAAAAAAAAAAGACATTTTTTTGGATACACTAAAGTGGTTCTTTATATTCTGTTCATCATAGCTATACACGGAGATTCTAATTTTAGTACCAGGTTTTTACCCTACCCTTCCAAAATTTTTATTTCAGATGGAGCAGATGGTGCTTTTTACCCAGATGAAATCCAAAGGCCACCTGTGAGAGTACCCTCTTGGGGACTGGAAGATAATGTTGTCTGCAGCCAGCCTGCTCGAAACCTAAGTCGACCTGATGGTTTAGAAGACCCTGAGGATAGTAAAGTAAATTGAATTTCTATTTTCTGAGCCTGTCCCTTTTATTTTTTTGTCCTGTGTAGAGAGTTATGTGTGTGTAGAAAGAGAGAATGTGTATGCTTGTGTGTACACGTGATTGCTTACTTGATTTTTTGAAAAATCTGCTTGTATTTAAATTTGAAAAATCAACTATTAATATGCTTCAGACTTACACTTTAGGATTTATTGAGAGAATGACCTTAGAATATTGTAGTTATAAGATAGTTTAATCTTAAAATTTTTTTTTTAATTGAGCTATAATGGACATATAACATGTTTCAGGCGTGCAACATAACGATTCGGTATTTGTGTATATTGCAAAATGATCATCATAACAAGTCTAGTTAACATCTATCATCATACAGCTATAATTTTTTTTCTTGTGATGAGAACTTTTAAGATCTACTCTCTTAGCAACTTTCAAGTATACAATACAGTATTAACTGTAGTCACAGATAGTTTAATTTTAATTATCACAGAGTAATTTACTATATTCTTTTGATTGTAGATGTATCAGGTTGCAAGAAGCAAAGTGTTAATGACAGTGTTATGCTTTGGTGTGCATCTTTTCGGTTTTGTATTTATATCCCACTTTAAGTTATAAAGTGGACTCTTTGTTATCTTTAGCAAGAAAAAGGAAGAAGTGTGTGTATCATAGTTTTCTTTTTCAGAGAAATGCTCTTGTAGACATCATTAGTATTTAATCTCTCAGCAGTACAGTACTGTTGATAATTGAATCAGTTTACGTGGCATGGCATTCTTTTTATTTCATTTAAGAGATTTCTTCACCATTTAATAGATCCTTTTCCTCATAGCAGCTCTTTTTGGATTTTCTGTGCATTAAGATGCGTTTAAAAGAAATGCTTTATCGTGCTCTTTGCAAGTACAGCGGTATCATGACCTGTTTCTCATTTAATCTAGTTTGCTGCATTTAATTGCTATTAACCTTTGCAGAAACTGATCAGTGTTCAGACAGGCATGATTTTAGCCCTAGTGCTCAACACCCATAATGGAGAAAAATGTATTTCTCTCTTCTGCCTTTTGGCCTCCTATATCCATTACTGGGAATAATTAGGAAAACTGTCAGAACTTTGGTCGTCTATATGAAGTCTAGAGTATCATCTTACTGCTTTTTCACACCTTTACTTCACATTTTGCATATTTAATCTGATCATTCTTGGCACAGATGTTACATGTGACAAGCTCTTCTCTTCTGTAGTCATCTGCTTCAGTTTAATTAGCAAAATGTACTTTCTGATCTGTGTGCTTTGCCCTCCTGCAAACCCATGAGAAGCAGTGTTAGAGTCTTGTGCTCATTTGCTGACATGCTTAGATTTGGTAATAAGATGGAAGGGGTCTTAATAGGCACACCTTGGGTAATTGTATTTTGCTATCAGAAGATTTTTCACATTAGACAGAAACTAATTTTTAGGTACATTCAGACCTTATTTTTTTTTAAAAATTCTTGTCATTACAGCAACAAAAATCATTTGCAAATGAAGTGTTTTAGTTAAGTAGTTCTAGTTAGAATATAAAAAGCAGCTCTGAGTTGACCTGTTCCTTTTCTCTGGCTCTTTGCCCTGGAAGTATTTAACAGCCTGGGACCCAGTGCCTTTCAGTTGGGGTTGAAGCGGCTCTGCACTTCCAGCCCCCTTCAGTCACACCTACCGTATCTCCTCCCTTCTGTACCAAAAACTTTCTGTCTCAGTCCCCTTCACCTCATAGTTGTAATTATGATGATAGTGATGGCAATAGACATTTCTGTAGTTTTATTGGACAGCTAATGCTTAACACTTTAAATATATTAACTCTTCATAGCTGTCCTATGAGGTAGAAACTTACTATATTTTATAATGGAGGAAACAGAGACAGACTACCTGGCTTGCTTCAAGTCATACAGCTGGTAAGCGTACAGCCTCATCAGTTTGGCTATGGAAGTTGTGGTTTTACCACCTATCAGCCTACCAAATGACTAAACCACAGGTTCCCAAACTTTCTCAGTTAATGGCACCTTTAGCATCTCAGTAGCCTCCTGCAGTTTTTGGAACCATGGTCTAAACTCTTGCTACACAAAAATATCATTTTTGGACCAACACTATTGGTATCTCCTGGGAGCTTGTTAGAAATAAGGAATCTCTGGCTCTACTCCAGACCTACAGAGAATCAGACTGCATTTAACAAAGTCTTTCGGTGATCATGCGCTTAATAAAATTTGAGTTGCACTGGTCTAAACTTCCTAAGGCCCATCAGGCAAGGTTGGATTACTTTCTCTTCCTTTGACACATATCCCACTTTCCAGTTGTTTTTATGCCTTTGTATAGTGTTTCCCTTCCACCTGACTAGCTTTACTTCTTTCCTTTCTCCTCTATCTCTGAAAGACTGAGGTTCACACATTCTGTTAATGTGTAGTTTGCAGCTTTCCACATGAGTCCTTCACTATGAACCCCCCAATTGAAGACTGACAATTTTTGTATTTACATTTTTTTCTGATGAGTTTTTTGTTTTTACTCTCAGAAGGATCTGTGGTTTTCAAAGGGGCTATGACTCCACGATTGTTGGGAATCACTGCTTGAAAGAATCAAGGCCTGTTTCCCATTGTCATGACACGTGGAATTTTTGCCTTTCTTAAATTTTGCCATTTTTCTTATGTTGTCTTATTTTTAAAATTTTACTTTGAATATAACCAGTATGTTTTCTGTTTACAAAAGTAGTATATAATTACAGCCAATTCACTTTTATCAAGACATTTTAAAATATTTAATTAATTTATTTTTGGCTGTGTTGGGTCTTCATTGCTGTGTGTGGGCTTTCTCTAGTTGTGGTGAGCGGGGGCTACTCTTCGTTGCAGTGCGCGGGCTTCTCATTGCGGTGGCTTCTCTAGGTGCAGAGCATGGGCTCTAGGCACACGGGCTTCAGCAGTTGTGGTGTGCGGGCTCTAGAGCGCAGGCTCAGTAGTTGTGGCGCAAGGGCATGTGGGATCTTCCTGGACCAGGGATCGAACCCGTGTCCCCTGCATTGGCAGGCAGATTTTTAACCACTGCACCACCAGGGAAGTCCTCCAAGACATTTCAAAGGGGAAAGAATAATCATTTCAACAAATGGTGCTGGGACATTTGGATATCCATATGCAAAAAAATGAAATTGGACTTCTACCTCATACCATATACAAAAATTAACTCAAATTGAACCTAAATATCAGAGCTAAAGTATAAAATTTGAAAGAAAACAGAGATAGATCTTTGTGATGTTAGGCAGTGGTTTCTTAGATATGACATCAAAAGCACAAGCAGCAAAGGAAAAAATAGATAAATTAGACTTCATCAAAAGGATTACATGAGGGGCTTCCCTGGTGGCGCAGTGGTTTAGGATACGCCTGCCAATGCAGGGGACATGGGTTCAAGCCCCGGTCCGGGAAGATCCCACATGCCACGGAGCAACTAAGCCTGTGTGCCACAACTACTGAGCTTGCGCTCTAGAGCCCGCAAGCCACAACTACTGAAGCCTGCGTGCCTAGAGCCCATGCTCTGCAATAAGAGAAGCCACCGCAATGAGAAGCCCCTGCACTGCAATGAGGAGTAGCCCCCGCTCACCGCAACTAGCCTGTGTGCAGCAACGAAGACCCAACGCAGCCAAAAATAAAATAAATTAAAAAAAAAAGATTACATGAATTCTGTATGTTGTTGTTGTTGTTTTTTAATACACACTTATTTCTAGCTGATTCTGTATCTCTGGTTGGCATCTCTTTTTTTCTTTTCTTTTTAAAATATTTATTTATTTAGGCACGCCCGGTCTTAGTTGCGGCATGCGGGATCTTCGTTGCGACATGTGGACTCTTAGTTGCAGCATGCATGTGGGAACTAGCTCCCTGACCAGAGATCGAACCCAGGCCCCCTGCATTGGGAGTGTGGAGTCTTACCCACTGGACCACCAGGGAAGTCCCTGGTTGGCATCTCTTAATGCTGAATTTTACCTTTTCTGTACCATATAGTACAATGCCTTTCATATACGGTAGGGTCTATTTAAATATTTGTGACTAACGATTTTAGCTAAAGAAATGCTTTTAATTATTTTTATTTTCTGCCTACTAATGTTCAGATCATCTTAGAAAGGTAATTTTTGGTAACAGTTTTATTGAGATATAATTCACATACCATACAATTACCGTTTAAAGTATACAATTCAGTGGTTTTTAGTATATTCAGAGAATTGTGCAGCTATCACCACATTCAATTTTAGGACATTTTCCTCACCACAGAAAGAAGCCCTGTACCCTTTAGCGTTTACTTTGTCTCTGTAGAGTTGCTTATTCTGGACATTTATGTAAGTCACATCTTATAACATGAGGTCTTTTGTGACTGGCTTCTTTCACTTAGCCTAATGTTTTCAAGATCCATCCATGTTTTAGCATGCATGCATATTTAGCATCAAGAATGTACTGCCTTCCTTTTTATTAAATGCTGAATAGTGTGTTGTATGGATATACCACATTTTGTTTATCCATTCCTCTGTTGATTAACAGTTGGCTCTTGTGAATAGTGCTGCTGTGAACTTAAGTACAAGTTTTTGTTTGAATACCTTTTTCAGTTTGGTTATATACTTAGGAGTTGAATTGCTGGGTCATAGGGTAACTCTATGTTTAGCCTTTTGAAGAATTGCCTGATTCCTTTTCCATTGGCAGTGTATAAGTGTAAGAGTTCCAGTTTATCTACATCTTTTCCCACACTTGTCTGTTGTTTTGATGATAGCCCATCCTAGTAGATGAGAAGTGGCATATCATCATGATTTTGATTTGCATTTCCCTGATGGCTAATGATATTGAGCATCTTTAATGTGCTGGTTGACCATTTGTATATGTTCTTTGGGAAAATGTCTATTCAAGTCCTTTGGCCATTTTTATATAGGATTATTTGTCCCTTGCCAGATAAATGATTTGCTCATATTTTCCCATCTGTGGATTGTCTTTATATTCTTTTGGTGGTATCCTTTGC